CCGTTAAAAACCTGGGTATAATCTTTGACTCCTCTCTCTCCTTCCTACCTCACATTTCTTCACTCATTAAATCTGCCTTCTTTCTCCTCCGTAATATCGCTCGCTTACGTTCCTTCTTAAATATCAATGATTCTGAGGCACTGGTTCGTGCCTTCATTACTTCTCGACTCGACTACTGTAATTCTCTTTTCTATGGTCTACCAAACACAACATTAAATAAGCTCCAATATATCCAGAACTCTGCAGCTAGGGTTCTCACTTTTTCCAAGAAATCTTCTCACATTACTCCCATCCTACTTAGACTTCATTGGCAACCCATTCGTTTTCGTATTCAATACAAGATTCTCCTCATCACCTTCAAAGCACTTCATGGTCTTGCCCCCCCATATATTTCTGATCTCATTCATACTTACTCCCCAGTTCACACACTACGCTCTTCAGATACTGGTCTACTGTTAATTCCACGCCACAGGTTAGCATCGTTTGGTGGATGAGCGTTTTGTATCTCTGCCCCCACACTCTGGAATTCTACTCCCAAACACATTCGTGATCTTTCTTCATTACAGGATTTTAAAAACCCACCTTAAAACATATCTTTTCCTTTCTTGTTTCTCTTATCTCACTCTGACTGCATGATCTGATTCATGAAATGGATTTCATGTTTGTCTGTATTTTTTTTTTTTTTGCTGTCATGTTTATCTGTTTTGATATTGTAAAGCGACCTTGAGTTTGCAGAAAGGCGCTATATAAAATAAACGTATTATTATTATTATTATTAAATGCCTGAAGTAAGGTATGTGGTGAATACAAACTCAATATATTTTCACATTTATTCTACAACATATAATACATCAGCAATACCCCTTGTGATTTTTTTTTAAAGCTTTTTGAAAAAGGCGGTTGTTAACAAGCGTCTAAATGGGACGACAGAGGTTGTCGGGGACATTAAACATCATCACAGTGAACAGATAAACTCATCTACTTACTAGTCGCTTTCACAGCCTTATTGTTTTTATAATCAAACTTTTTTAACTCAAAGATTTTTGGGGAAATTTTTTATTTTTTTTTAAACAAAGACTTAAAGAGTTGTCAGAAGCTTAATGGTGGTGAAGCTGTCTACAAAGTCATGTGACCGTAGTGTAGTTCATTCATAGCCTACATTTAGCTTTTTACCTCTAGTGATTGTAATTAGATTTCAAAATGTATAAAAGTTGTGTTCCTTTTTAAAAAATGACCATGAACTTCATAAACTCATCATAAACCTTTGTTGGTCACAGAGTTTATTTTCTGGAATAATCCAAAAACCAATGGAAAAATCCTATTGTGTTTTTGTCAAAGGAAAAAGGGTGATGCGAACTTCAGGGTTGGCCTACAAACACACGTCATCACTGAAGCGCTCTATTGTTATGTGCGTGATGCTGGCACAAAAATCAAAACAAGGTGGAAGAGAGCCTGATCCAGATGTATGAAGCTAAGCATCCTGAGATGTTTTGTGAACCCATGTTTAACAAGGTGATGTATCACAGCACTCAACTGGTTTTTTATTCTGTTTTAAGCTCAAATAAATCTCTTTTTTTGCTCTCATAATTTTTTACTCTTAATTGTGTCCACTTTTATTTTCCTACTTTAACAACTTCCTAAAATTGCCCCTTTATAACAGTTATCTCCAATACATTTGATGTGGAAGTTTATTGAAGCATGATCCAAGTCATGTAAAATGGACTTCATGTGATTTTTGTCATCTGCCACTGAAGTCAGAAACAGAAGAAACGAAGATATAATCTGCATGATTAAGTGAAAGATAGAAGTGAGTTTGATGTCAACTGGAGCTTTTCAATATGGCACCAAGAACAGGCCCATTCACCATCTTATTCAGTCACTTCCCCAAGATCATCCACCTGGACCATATCAAACATACCTCAATGATACCATACCTGGATTTACAGGAACAGAGTTCCTGTGAGAACAGCACGCAAAATACACACTACCAGACTTGACAAAGGTAGAAGTAACTATCTGGAGAAAGAAGGAGAGGAAGCTCACCTTGAACCTATCGATGGCGACAGATGCCTCCGATAGAGATTTGACAGAAAATGGGGTGACCTTTAAGGCAAAGGTCATGGCATTGAAAACAGTGACGACAGTAAATGCCTGGAAAAAAAGAAATGAAGTAGAGTCAGTGCATGAGTACATCAATACTGTGGTAATGCCTACACCTCCAAACAAGCAATGTAACCCTACCTGTGCGGCGGTAAGGTTATAACCTAGCAACATGTGGGTGGAGAATGTGGCCACACTGTCAATCACCACGACGATAGGTGCCACGCCGACTGTAATGCTCTGAAAATATCCTGTTTGTTCCAGAATCTGACGCTCCTCATCTCTAATTCCTGTTAGATGGTACATAATGACGAGCAAATACATTTGTATAGAAATCGGCCAAAGTAGGTTAATATTATTAACTAAAACCATTAAAAACATTTTCATTACTTGAAATAAAAACAAAATATATAAAGAAAAATTCAGCTAGTTGCCAAACAACATTTCTCATTTTCATTTAGTTTGAGTTGAAGTGTAGCATTAAAACAACTAAAACTAAACCAAAACTAAATACTATATATACACATATTTAAGAAATGGAGAATAAAAATGACAAATGCATACAACAAAATTTCTAAAACTAAAATTAAAATGAAAACAAAAAAAAAGTAAAATAAAATCAATTCAAAATATTAACAAAAAGTATAATAGTATAACAATGATTCTAACATAACACTAAGCCAAACACACAAGCCAAACAACAGATACAATATATATATATATATATATATATATATCATATAGTTTGTGTGTATATATATATATATATATATACACACAAACTATATGATATATATATATATATATATATATATCATATAGTTTGTGTGTATATATATATATATATATATACACATATATATAGTTCATTAATTGAAATAAAATAAAAATGTACTTAAATATTTCAGCAACATTTCTAATTTTCATTTAGTTTAAGTTAGTTTAAGTTAACAGATATAAACAAAAACTAACAACGTAATAAAAAGCTATACGGACATATTAAAAAAAATACAAACTTTTTACAAAAACACAAAATTACGAAAACTCTAAGTGAATTTAAAATGAAAATTAAATGAAAATAGAAAAATAAAATCTAATTCCATTTATTAATAAAAACTACAATAGAATATCAATTATATTAAGATAATACTATGCCAACAACAACAGCCAGGGTTATTATCATTAACTAAAACTAAAATTAAATCTATTTAAAAATATATATATATTTCAGTTTCATTTATATATTTTATTTCATTTTCTCATTTCCATTTAGTTGAAGTTGACTCAAATTAAATAAAACTACAAACTAAAACTTGGACATAGACAGTAAAAAAACTAAAAACGACAAAAATTACTACAACTTGAACTAAAATTAAAATAGATAACATATAAAAATAAAATCTAATTCAAAATATTAACAAAAACTACATTAGTATATCAGACAGTGATACTAAATAATAACACTGAGCCAAACACGCAAGCTAAAAAAAACTACTTACTTCGCACAGCTTGAGAGAAGGCCTTCACCCAGGCATACATCTTAATGAACTTGATGTAGTTCAGAATCTCATTCATCTTTTGAACGCGCTGGTCAGTCACGGCTACTCCCTTCCTCCTGAAGTACGCCGTCAGCCTGGAGCTAAACATCTACAGGAGAAACATCGGAGTTACAACGGAAACTCCCATTGGAAAAGCAACACGAAGCATGAACTGAAAGCTCACCATAGTGGGGTAGAAGAGGATGAATACGGCAGAGCCTAGCAGAGACGTCGGCCCCAATACGGATAAGTTGTATACCATTCCCAGCACAGCCACCAGGGGGCCTCCAGCCAACAGGCTGCCCACGGCAGCGGCTTCAAACATGCGCTGCCCGTCACTCGAACACATATTGATCAGCTAAAGAGAAAAGTGACAGGTACGTCGGCAAGACGTGCGAGATATACCGTAGACTACCATGAAATATATGCGGGCATCACCTTCTTTAGATATTTTCCTTCAATCTTCATCTCTTCATCATTCAACACCCTAGGATATCTGCTCCTAACCTTCCTAAATGGCCAATTCATTAATCCAAAACTCCTCACCCGTCCCTCAACACCGTACCTCTCCCATGGTCTTCTCCCGAAGGCTGCGCAGACGCAGTATCTTGTGGAAGGCCAAGGTCAGGATGGCTCCACGCAGGCGGGTGCCGGTGCGGTAGTTGAGCGCCCAGGTGAGGGCGAGGGACCAAGAGCGAATCAGCTCGGTGGCCAAGAGGCCCAGCACCAGCAGCAGGCCGTAGGGCAGGTCGGGTTCGCTCATCTGCGTATACTCCAGCAACCGCCTCACCACAAACGCCTGCGGAGAGGGAGGACGAGCAAGGGGGCGACAGGACACAGCAGGCGTGACTGAGGATACAAACACAGCCGTGCACCAGCACACTTCACGACCTTCCTCATCATAAAACATCTGACATGTTTACATCGTTGGGCAGAAAAAGGTAAAGAGATGCAGATCATTGTATGCTATGTGTGGGACGTCATCATCAAATGCACGGCTTCTAATCATTGGAGACAGTGAGGGAGCGGCAACGTCTACTGAGAGAGAATGTCAGCCTGTGCTCTAATAGTTTATTACCTTATGTGGCCCTTTTCTCTAGCCTTCGGAAAAGAACAAGAGAGACAATGAAACAGTCTGTGCGAGAGACATAGCAATGTGACAATCATGGACATAATGTCCCTTGTTTGTGGATTGAAAGACTTTTTACCTACAGTCACATCAGGTTGGGGTACAGGATGGAGACGTACTTTTGTTTTAACACCTGAAAATTAATATCAATTACATTAGTAGCAGAGTGTGCGGAAGCACAAAACACAGAACACTTTAACAGCTCGACAGTTCAAGAAAGTCATACAAGCACACAGTCGCACACACGCACGCCGTTCTCAAATATCATGCACATACTCAGTCAAGGATATGCAGACATAAACTGGGAACAAGGGCAAGCCCATGTGGTTGAACACAGCTGCTAGATTTTATTAAGGAAACCTTGAATATTTAACCTTGAAAGTTGAAACATCAGCAGTTCGTGGAAAATTTTTTTTTACAAAGACGTTGCAAGAAAAACAAACAAAAGACATTGTTGCATAAAAGATAGAATGTCAAAATAAAGGTCTTTGAGAGTCCATTTGTGAGTCGTCATCACTTAAAAGCTGTCCCATTTCTTTTTAATCGAGGTTAGTGGGGCAGCGATCACCCTCCCTGAATGACGCACATCTTACAAGACCCATTTACACCACACAGTTGCCCGAAAAGGTGTCCACGAAATTGGTCAAAAATCCAGCAAGCATATGGAGGACAAGAGCTGCGGGTCTGAAAATGGCCTGTACGCTCGTGAATCTCTCAAACTTGAGAGCGTTTCAGTCCAAAGCAGCAATATAAAACACCCCACAAGTCCGTTTTCCGTTTGCAAAAGTGCTGGTATTTATCTGGAGAAGTCTGAATCAATTGTCCATTGGCACAAGATCATCGGACATACATTGCACGGTTTGACAATCATTTGCCAACCAGTTACCCAACCTTTCAGACATTTTCTTGCTGGATCATTTCAACACACATGAGATGTGAAAGATTACAGAGATCAAATAAGAGAGGGGAAACAGAAAGAAAGAGAGAGAGAGAGAGACGGGCAGCAAACAGCAATAACTCTTGATCCAGCCCTGCATAAGAAACATGCCCTTACCTCCCAGGAATCCTCACCGGCTCTGCCTGCCGTGCGCTCTCCCCGCAGGTTAAATGGACACCCTGTGGAGTCTGAAGAATAGCCTCTGTCACATGTCGCACACATGGGGACCCAGCGACCTCTGACCCCTAACTCCAATCTGAACCCCCCCAGACACCCACCTTCCTTTACAAACCACCCCTGACCTCAGTCATCAGAGCAAGGACAGGTATCTCTTCAAGGAGATGCTCTACAGGGAGCTGCTAAATATAGACAACAGGGAGAGAAAGGCAGTTGATGATTAAACAGAATCTTTTGATAAGCCCGATTTTCTCCAAAAAGTTGAAGGAGACAGAGCCTCGCTGTGTCGCCCATGGTGGGACAGTGACAGAAGCTCTCCTTGAAGAAAATGTTAGCCTATCCTCCTGATCTAAGGAGACTTCTCTTTAGACTATGTTTGTGCTACATGCAATGCCCCTAAACTTAAGTTGTATCCCAAATCTAGCATTTCATAGTGGACCGTAAGAACAGAATACTTTCCTTATTATCTATCCGATAATAACACCACAGATATAAAACACCTGGTACCTGGAAAGCAAGAGACAAACAGAAACTTGCACAATCATAGAGCAGCAGTTTTTTGAACAGGTGTAATAAATTGGTTTCTGTTTTTCTGTTCTTGGAACAAAAACTGATGACTAAGCTTTGAGTCATTTATCTTTAGCTTCATTAAAACTTCAGGATATTTATGATTAATAACATTTGGCCTTAACTAATAGACTTGCTTAAAGGTGAAGTGTGTCACTTCTGCACAACTGGCAGCACCAAACAGAACTGAAAAATACTGACCGCTGGTAGTCCTGCCTCGAACTAATGGCAATAGAGTGCGGCAGTCGGGTTGCGGACGTAAAAACTCCATTCGTTTTCTCCAAAGGGGAACTGACTTTTAACGATACCTTATAAACCTTTAAAGCGAGACCTACTGTGGGCTACGAGGTTGTTGATTGATGGTAAATGATTTTGTTGAAGCCATCAGTTTGTATTATTTCAACTTCAAATTGGAATTCCTGGTGAAAAACTACATTACCCATGATGCAGTACAAAAATCCCTCCAATCAGAGTTGCGGCGAGCAGATCTCACCAAAAGATCTTGCATATTTTACAATAAACTTACTATATATTTTCTCTACAGACATAATTAACAACATTAAATGAATAGTTTTATGTTTCTCCATTTTTTTAATTCAATTATGTCATTCACAATCCTTCATGAGATTGTAGTTCTTTCCCTCACTAATACTGTTAAGTACACGGTCTTGTACTTTTGTATTTTTTTATGATTTTCAAATACTTTTTTGCTTCAAATTAAAGTTTGCAAAGTTGTGATTCACCTCATAGCTTGTTGTTCGTGGATTATAACACTTTAACAAAGACTTTTTTTTAAATCCCTATGGGAAAATTTAATGGAAAAAATACTTCCGGAACCAACAAATGCACACAAATGCACTCTATGTTTGAGATAATGTTGTTACATCTGACACAATTGAGCAGCTCAAATGGATTAAAATTCCATTTGGTGCTGTTAGTAGTGCAGATATAACATACTTCAATAACATTAAACTATAACATCTGAATTAATAAGGTTTCGTGAATGTGAAAGTCAAACTATTTGGCAAAAAGCAGCAGACCAGCTGTAATACTCTTGGTGTTGGCACAAGTCATCATTAAGGCACTTTATAAATAGCACTAATGGTTAAATGAATTGATAAAATGGTTTTGGGAGCCACACTGGAAACACCACAGAGGTAAAGCAAATAACTTCTGAGGCCCAGTGATAATGTAACACACCGTTCATTCCCCATCTGAACACTCACCTGAGCATTTGAGGGGGGGCAGGATTTGATAGGTGGGTCTACAAAGCTAATAATACACAGAGACACAGACAGAGCTAGAGCGAGAGAGACAGACAGCAGAAAGACACAACAGAGCTGAGATGGTGTTACTTACTGGGCCACTGAAGCCTGCGAGTTGAGTAACCATAAGGCAGAGGATGGACAGCAGCAGACGTGTGCGGCAAAAAAGCCAGACCACACGACGAAGAGATGCCCCGTCCCCTCGTGACCTGACTTCTTCATCCCAAAGCCCGGCCAGCCTGTGGAAATGATGTTTTGTTAACATGCAATGCATCTACCAATTACATCAGGCCTGGCTCCAGGTCCAAGAAGTACCACTGTAACACCACTTGATTTGGACATGAGCCATGCCAGTGCAATGGTATTCTTTGAAGTACTATGAAACTACCATGGTTCATCAATCATTCAGTATAGTATTTATGGTATTGTTACCATTTGGTATCACCAAAGTACTGTATGAGAAAGTTGCACCTGCCAGGCCTGAATTACATATATTTTAGTTGGATGAGTGCTTGATCTGTGATAAGAAGTCATATATCAGTACTGACCGGCGATGATTGACCTCACAACTCTCAAACTGCGACACAGCCCATATATCCTCCAGAAACAGCTGAACTGGAAACACCACAGAGGTAAAGAAAATAACTTCTGAGGCCCAGTGATAATGTAACACACCGTTCATTCCCCATCTGAACACTCACCTGAGCATTTGAGGGGGGGGGCAGGATTTGATAGGTGGGTCTACAAAGCTAATAATACACAGAGACACAGACAGAGCTAGAGCGAGAGAGACAGACAGAGGGAAAAGACACCAGAAAGACACAACAGAGCTGAGATGGTGTTACTTACTGGGCCACTGAAGCCTGCGAGTTGAGTAACCATAAGACAGAGGATGGACAGCAGCAGACGCGTGCGGCAAAAATGCCAGACCACACGATGAAGAGACGCCCCGTCCCCTCGTGACCTGACTTCTTCATCCCACAGCCCGGCCAGCCTTTGGAAATAATGTCTTGTTAATATGCAATGCATCTACCAGTTACATCAGGCCTGGCTCCAGGTCCAAGAAGTACTTGATTTGGACATGAGCCATGCCAATGCAATGGTATTCTTTAAAGTAATTTGGAGTACTATGAAACTACCATGCTGCATCAATCATTCAGTGTAGTATTTACGGTATTGGTACCATTTGACACCATTTGGTACCACCATAGTACTGTATGAGGAGGTTGCATCTGCCAGCTCTGAATTACATATATTTTAGCTGGATGAGTGATTGATCTTTGATAGGAAGTCATATATCAGTACTGACCGGCGACGATTGGCTTCACAACTCTCGAACTGTGACACGGCCCAAATATCCTCCAGAAACAGCTGACCCTTCTTATGGGCCAACACCACCAGTGAGGTCAACCAGTTAAATGTCATAAAAGAGAAGAGGCCAGCGTTGTCGACTGGATGCTGATACCTGTGATGGCACAATGAAAAACAGGACAAGAGAAGAGGCAAGAGACGTGGATTAGTCTCGAAGCTGCAGTATTTTAATTCAGTGCAATTTGGTTTATTTTATTAGGGCCACCCAGTGTAAGTCCCATGTGCCTTTCTCGGGGACACAGTGTATGTCTCGTAAAACTGTGTCATTTGAGCTTAATCACTGCACTGACATTTTTATAGGGTTGCAATTTTACTTAAATGTGGCTTTTGTTGAAATTCAACAAAGATGTTTTTACTAGGGCTGGGTTGAGAACAGTGATTTCTCAATTTGAATCGATTCTCATTTTGATGAACTGATTCTTAAATCCTAAGAATCTATATTTTAGTTTAGGCTGTTTTCAATGGATGCATGAACTACACTTTATAAAACATTATTTATAGCGTACCTCCAAATTGCAAGCTTGTGAATTGAAATCCAATCGAATCTTACAATTTGTGTCAATATCCTGGCTTAGTTTATTGTCAAATTCATGGATCCTCAGTGTTGTCTTATTTTGGTGTGTGAATCCATGTAATTTGCATTAAAACCTCAATGGAGATTCACACTCAAGTCAATTTACTAACCCGCAAATCACTATTGAGGCTTCTGCTCAACCAACCCAGTTATGCTGTGATATTTCCCTCCTTTAAATGGATAGTGCATCCAAAAATGAAAAAATGTCTTTACTCACCCTCAAGTTGTTCCAAACCCAAACTCAATTTTTCATCTCCCCTTGGATGAAGTATTGAGGCATTTTAACTTTAAACCATTCCTTCCGGCCAACATACGAGTGCACAATCCATAATAAGCTTCTTCCAGTGGAAAAAGTCCATCCCCTGTTGTTCTCTCACATCGCACATTTGAGCTGTTTTGGACTGTTTTCGCTTGTAAAAGGTGCTTTATCTGCACATATTTCTCTCCTGATTCAGACATGATGAATTTTTCACTTGAGAAAACAATATTATGGATAGAGGACTTTTTTTATTTTAGCTGGAAGCAAAGGTTTGAAGTTAAAAAAGCCTTAAGTATGGATTTGTTTCTTACAAACACGCAGCTTTACACTTTACAAGATATTAATTGATGCACTGGAGTGGTGTGGATTATTGTGATGTTTTTATCAGCTGTTTGGACTCTCATTCTGACGGCACACATTCACTGCAGAGGATCCATTGGTGAGCAAGTGATATAATGCTAAAATTCCCAAAATCTGTTCCCATGAAGAAATAAACTCATTTACATCTTTGGTGGACTGAGGGTGAGTATATTTTCAGAAAATTTTCATTTTTTTGAGTAAACTATTCCTTTAAGGCTGTTATTAACCACTTAACACTGACCCTGTAATCTATTCAAATTGTTCTGTTTGTCACCATTTGTTTCAGAATATGCTTCTATTGGCATCTCAGGTTTACTGAGCCTTTGACATTTGAGAGACTGACCTGAGCAAGTGATATAATGCTAAAATTCCCAAAATCTGTTCCCATGAAGAAATAAACTCATTTACATCTTTGGTGGCCTGAGGGTGAGTACATTTTCAGAAAATTTTCATTTTTTTGAGTAAACTATTCCTTTAAGGCTGTTATTAACCACTTAACAGCTGACCCTGTAATCTATTCAAATTGTTCTGTTTGTCACCATTTGTTTCAGAATATGCTTCTATTGGCATCTCAGGTTTACTGAGCCTTTGACATTTGAGAGACTGACCTTCACAAATATGTAGACATCTGAAAATGGACACAGTGTTACCCATCACGATTTGCTAACTGAAATGATAGGCACGCTGCTCAGTAACTTTAGTACGTACTTGCTGGTGGAGCGGATGGGCTTGAATACACAAACACTGTGGCGGTATTTGCTTCTCCCGACTTCGTCCTCCAACTCTTTTGGGTCGGATGCACTGCCCCCATCCAATGAGAGGCCACCCTCAGCTCTCGCTGCCGTTTCAAAAGCATCCTGGGAGAAACATCAGCAGATCAGGTGTTCAGCTGCCAGGTTTGTTTTTGAGCGTGGTTTATTGCATTTCAGCACTTTTCAATGGAAAAATGTGACAATGCAAAAAATTGTTGACAGGAAATGAAAGAAGACTTGTTTGTCAGCATATAATGGGCAAAGACAAATAACATCAGCGAAAAACAAAAACAGAGGAAGGAAACCAGTCAGACTCCTAAAACCATGCAGCCCATACGGCCTAATAATGCCTTGGGGAAAAACCACCATGTCATGCAAGAGAACCATCGAGTCTTGTGCTGCACGTGGCCTTAAAACACAGACAGCTGATGAAGTCCGTAATTGTAAATTATGCACATATGTTTAAGTCATGTGTCTTGGCTTAACAAATAACAGGCAAAATAGTTTAGAAGATTGTTTAAAGCAAGACACTACAGGTGAGCCTAGTCTACGACACACTAATACGCTTTCATTTGAAAACGCATCTTTTTCTCTCCATTTTGGCCTTCCGTTCACACTAAGCCTGCATTTTTCTCAATAAAAATGAAGCTTTTTGAAAAAGCTCTCCAAAGTTTGCATTGTAGTGTAGACTGTAAAAACGATGATGCAGGTTTAGTCGTGACACATATTGTACCGACAGTTATCTATGTTTATACTGATATTGTGCCTGTTATGTGCTATTCACTTTCACACTGTTGCTAAAGATACGGTACTTTGTACACTCTTCTTATCACAGTCCTGCAAAGATGACAGAAAATTTACTGGCACTTGCTGTCCTCCGGCAAAACATGAGGGCGGTTGCTTTTAGCCCAAACATATAATGGTGATTGAGTGTGACCTGGACGCATCATTGAATGGAGAGATATTTTGCTAAATAAAATGATCCTGCCAGAAGAATATTGTGCATCTGTATCATCTCAGTGAGCTCTTATGAGGTTTTACGCATGTGCAGTAAGGTTAAAACTGTGATGTGAAACGTCTGGAAAACACTAGTGTGGACGGAGAGCGTTTTAAAATGAAAAAGCTGTTTTCAAAGGTATTCGGTTTAATGTAGACATAGCCTTAATAGGGCAAAAAATGTAACAGGTATCACCACACTTTCCCCAGTTGATTAATCACAGCATGATTGACCAAGTTTTCTGAAAAGTTGTGTTTGATTATGGAAATGAGGCATTATCTTATTAAATAAGCACTCATTTGCATACACTTCCAGAACAAAAATCTGAACTAAAGGTTCAAAATTATTTAATTTTGTTGACATATTAGAGTTAAAAATCGTTTTTATTATTCCATAAATCAGAAAATAATGTCAACAGCTAGAAAAATATTCATTATAACCATATTTTTAGGAATAAAATCTAAATTAGGCGAATAATGTATCAACAAACCCCTCGGTAAAAACCTTCAGAATATAGATATGTTTTAGTTTAGTGTAAGTGCTACAGAAGTATAACAAAAAACTAATTTTGAGCAAATGGCCTTTAAATATAAGGCATTGTCATTGAAATCTACAGAAGCAAAAAATAAAGTGTAATAAAATAAAAATGTTTTCTTTCCACTAGTCCGAAATAAAGCCATGTTATGAAAGCAAAATAGGCCAAAACATCAAAATTGACCAGTTCTTGAAAAAAAAAAAAAACTGTGGTTTTGCCTAGAGTGTCTTGTTTAAGTCAAATGTACTGATAACACTTAGTATAGAGAACAATTCTCACTATTAACTTGTTGCTTATTAACATACATATTACTAGCATATTGGCTGTTTATTAGTACTTAAAAAGCACATATTAATGCCTTATTCTGCATGACCATATTTTAGATCCCTTAATCACACCCCCATACCAAAACTCAACAACTACCTTACTAACTATTATTAAGCAGCAAATTAGGAGTTTATTGAGGCAAAAGTCGTAGTTAATAGTTAGTTAATGGTGAGAACTGGTCCCCAAACTAAAGTATGACCAATGTACTTGACCCCACGTGCAGCTACACACTGCGACATGTGCGAAAGACCACTCTAACAAATAAAATATTTTAAAACAGGCCAGACAGCAATAAAGTTTGTGCTGCCCACAGCCAGCGGAGACAACAGCCGATTATATGGGCCGTTGCCCTTGGTGATGAGCGCTGTGGAGTATTCTGCCGACATCCAGGCTAAATGCTGAGAGCAGTCAGAGTGTGTGTCTGCGTATATGTGTGTAAGCAAAGGCAGTCTCCAAAATGATTTAAATTCCAGGGAGGCAGAAAAGGCCAGCTGGATTAGCTCGCTAAAGGGAACAGCATGTACTTTATAGTAGGCTTGCCGCGATAGACGGTGTTGACGGTGATACCGGTGTTAAGCCGCAACACCGGTTACGTCACTTGCCCACCGTGGCACCGACCCCCACCGTCGTTTTGATTTTTTATAGTAATAAAAATAATTTAGTTCAGTAAAAGAACAGACACTACAATTAAAAACTGAACGCGGCTGCTCAAATTGAGGCAAAAGTCGTAGTTAATAGTTAGTTAATGGTGAGAACTGGTCCCCAAACTAAAGTATGACCAATGTACTTGACCCCACGTGCAGCTACACACTGCGACATGTGCGAAAGACCACTCTAACAAATAAAATATTTTAAAACAGGCCAGACAGCAATAAAGTTTGTGCTGCCCACAGCCAGCGGAGACAACAGCCGATTATATGGGCCGTTGCCCTTGGTGATGAGCGCTGTGGAGTATTCTGCCGACATCCAGGCTAAATGCTGAGAGCAGTCAGAGTGTGTGTCTGCGTATATGTGTGTAAGCAAAGGCAGTCTCCAAAATGATTTAAATTCCAGGGAGGCAGAAAAGGCCAGCTGGATTAGCTCGCTAAAGGGAACAGCATGTACTTTATAGTAGGCTTGCCGCGATAGACGGTGTTGACGGTGATACCGGTGTTAAGCCGCAACACCGGTTACGTCACTTGCCCACCGTGGCACCGACCCCCACCGTCGTTTTGATTTTTTATAGTAATAAAAATAATTTAGTTCAGTAAAAGAACAGACACTACAATTAAAAACTGAACGCGGCTGCTCAATGCAGCATGCCGAACAACAGTCGCATCACAGATCAGATTTCATTTCTCCAGTGAGGAGAGTGAGTCGAGCTGACTGACAAGAAGAGTGAGGTGAGACAGACAAGACGATCGCGGATGATTTAGTTTCAAAACTAGATGCAAAAGCGCCTGTTTGGCAATATTTTGGATTTTGAAAAGCCTGTTGACTTTTGCCATTTATCTAAGGTGATTTTGGAAGTTTTTTTAAACATTCGTTTCTTATTTAAATTGGTTCCACATTGTTTGCTGATTTTTACTTTATTTAAACTGTCATTTATTTATTTTATTTGACATCAAGGTGTATGCCGTGCCTCCAAGCTTTCTTACTCGTTTTGCTAATAAACGTTCTACGTTTCTTATTTATTTGGTTATATATTATACATGTTTACTTATTTCCAGTTTGTATACCTATTAAACTTTATGTAAGTTATTTGTTATTTTATATTAGGCATAGCCTGCCCTATAGCATGGTGTATTTGTATTTGTTTTGTTAATAAAAGTTCTATGTTTTATATATAGGCTAAAGTGAGTTTGACGTTGTATTTTGTTGTTGCATTCAAGCAATTGAAGCCAAACTGCCGTTAATTCAAAAGTGAAAGTAAAATGAGCACGGCGCTTTTAACCTATTTAAAAGAGACGGAAAGCGAGGAAAAGAGGGAACGCCCCCGCCCCCACGGTGATACCGGTATTACCGGTGTTGTCACGCCGATTAACCGGTGGGAAAATTTCCTCCCCGTCACAACCCTATTATAGTTTACATTAAAACCAATACAATTCCCATTATAACCCTGAAATCCATTAAATTTGTTATTGTGTTTTGGGAGGGGTTCTATTG